ATTTCTTGTAATCTTCTCTTTAACAAAGAATATTTAGTTTTTTAAACAGTTTTTGGGCAGTTAATAGTGTGAACTAGATCATTTTGTATTGACTGAAAAATAAAACTTCTAGAAACTTAGATTTTAAAAGTAATAACAGTGCTTAGCTTAGTATTGTTTGTAGTTTGAGTCATTTACATCAAATAAGAATATTAGTTGAATGTTTTTCTAAGTTTTATATCCTGTAAAGGCCTAAAAATAATGTATAAAGTGAAACATAGCCAACATGCAAAATTCCTTTTTACTTTTATTACATAAAAGTAATTGGAATTCTTATCTAATAAATATGATGTAGATATATAATAAACCACTAGATAAGTGGTGTGTTTCAATGAATATGTAATATTTTCTGAAGAAATAAGGATTTCTAGTCATTAAACAAAAACTAATGAAATATGTATCAGGAATTATAAGTTTGCCTTTCTAAAATCATTTTGTGTGTCATTATTTACCCTTAAAGTTTTAACTCATCAAAATGATAATTCAAAAATAAATTTTAGAAAATTTAGGATGTTATTGGTTCTATTTCTGTAACAGAATCTCAGTGGAATTTTTTTGCAAGGCTAATATGGATTTAATTTCATTGTTGACTAAATTTTAGAATGGTATTCATTCTCCACTAATGTTTTTTGTTGTTCATACAAGCTGAAGTGGTTTTAATAAGATTTAGTGATATTTAGGTAGCCACTTTCTCTGCTTTTTTTATATTTATTTGACCATTATGACTTTTAATTCATGGCATCTTTACCAGTAAACTGAAAAGGTCTATTAGCACAAGTTGGGAGACAATAAGAATTTGTGATAAGCATTTGAATGAAACTAAACACTACAAATACTGCATGTTATTTATAAATCAAAGAGAACATTTATTCTCAACTCCAAAATGTGTATGCAGTTCTAGGCCACAAGAGTTGATAATATAGATTAAGTTATTTACGTATGAAGCAAAATAGGAAAAAAAATATTGAGAAAGGATTATGTTTACAGAGGCCTTCTTATATGTCATATTTCTTAAATGTTTTTTGGTGATACTGGGGATTGAACCCTGATGCATTCCACTAAATCACATCCCCAACCCTTTTTATTTATATATATTTATTTGAGACTGGGTCTGGTGATATTATTCAGGCTGACCTTGAACTTGTGATCTTCTTGCCTCAGCCTCCCAGGTAGTTGGGATTAGGTGTGTGTCACTGCTGCTGGCTTTAAATGTATTAGTATCTTTTTAATGCATACTTCAGTAATATTTAAGAAATAAAATAAAATGATACAATTCCAATGCTGTACATGTTGACAATGACAAAAATAAAACCATATTGGTAGTATTAGCATGTACTTTTGATTTAATACATCTTTCTATGAATTCAATTGTATTTCTTTAGGTGGTCATTTTATAGATGTTAAGATGCTTATCATGTGTGATTGAAGGCTACTTAAAGACAGATTATGTAATTTACAGCTTAAATTAGGCTTGAAGTATAAATGGAATACTCTTCCCCTGGTAGTGAGAGGAGATAGCTATATTAACGTTGCCTCAGGCTTTAAAACAAAGTTGGCAATTCAAATAAGTGAGAAATGATATTTTTCTATACTCAAATAAGAACTTTTTTACAAAGTGGATTATTATCATTGTGAAATGTATAGACATGTTCCAAATATGCATGTTTTACAATAATTGAGTCAAATACCAGTTTTTAAATATTTAATTAAAATTAAAAATTCAGTTTCTCAGTCTCAATCACTTTATTCTACTAAAAGATAACAAAATTTACCATCTTAATTTTAAGTTGTGCAGTTTAGTTACATTAAGAATGTTCAAGTTGTTTTGCAACTCATCATCTCTAAAACTTTATAATGCAGTAATTCCCATTCCTTTCTACCTATATAGCCTCTGGCAAACATTTTTCTGCTTTCTGTCTCAACATTTTACTATTCTAATCTCCTTCTATAAATCACATCATTATATCTGCCCTTTGTTGTATTGTATTTTACACAACATTTTGTTTTCAAGATTCATCCATGTTCTATCAGAATTTTCTTTTAAAGCTGAATAATACACCCATTGTATGGATATGCCATGTTTTGCTTATTCATCCTTCAGTGGACATTTAGGTTATTTTTAACCTGTAAGATATTGTGAATGATGCTGTGTGAAAATAAGCGTTCAAATATCTGTTCAGCTCCTTGCTTTCAGTTCTTTGGTGCATATACCCAGAAGTGGAAGGATGGGTTGGAGCAAGGAAAGAGTAAAAACAGACTAGCTAGGAAGCCACAACAGTACCTAGGCCTGACTGCTCATATTATGGTAAATCCCAGAGACATTACAAAAGAAAAACACAGTATTTAATGGTTTGGCTATAGGGGAAACAAGAAACTAAGGTGACTGAGTTTCTAATCATTTTATAACAAGTGAATGATTAACAGAAAATGGACATTAATTTTCCTGGAAAGATGATTTTTATTTTAACAAATACATTAAATCTCGTATTTGCCAACATTCCAATGACCTCCCTGTTTTTCATCCTATCTACCCAAAAATGCCCCACAAAGGCAGGGACCTTTGGTTTTGTTCATTAATGTATCTCAAGTTTCGTGAACAGAGATTAGCACATGGTGTTTATTAAATGCATGACTGAATGATTGGATAAGACTGGGATCTACCAAGTGATTGAAAAAGCAGCAACTACATGAGGTAGCATCAGCCCATGGCAGATGAGTCTGAGGCACAAAGTTGTAAATGGCTAGCTTAATTATGGAAGTGGTAGAGCTAGCACTGGAACCCAGGTAAGCTGATGCTGGAGCCTGCCCACCCTTGTGCTGTCACCACATATCTCATGTGGTGAAGAAGTGAAATGAAAAAACAAGAGGAAGAATGGAAATCAGATGCCCAAAGTGGTAGCTCTGGAAGTAGATGTTGAGAATAAGAATCCTAATGATAAACTGAAGACAGCTTATCTTTCCCAGGGTTATCCCTCCTTGATGAGTATGGTGTTGCTGCCAAAGGGTTAGTGAGTTTTTGTAGCATCTTGGCAAATCTTTTATCATTGCTATTTAATTAGGACAATACAAGGAAATAACAGGTCATTCGTTGTCCAGATGTATTGTACATAGGAAACCCAGTTCTAACAAGATGTCTCACTTTTTATGAAATTCAGCCTTGGAGTATTGAAAGTATTGTTAAAAAAAAGAAAGTTGTTGTGTTTTATAGCCCTAAACAGCAGCCTCAGGATGTCTCTTGAATTTTTTGCATACATGACAATAGTGGAATGCGTTACATTCATTATTACCCATTTACAGCACAATTTTTCATAACTGTATAAAGTATGTTCACACCAAATTATGCCATTATACATGTACTCTTTTTTGCATTACAATTCTTAATACACATATATACCACAATTTATCAGATCTCTGTTTGTATATAAGGTATGTTGAGACCAAATTCAAATCTTCTGTATTTTGTGTAATGACCATCACCTTCCACTAAGTGAAGTTAGCCAATCCCAAAAAAAACAAATGCCAAATGTTTTCCCTGATATAAGGAGTGTGTGTGTGTGTGGGGGGGGTGACTCCAAAGTAGAGTAGGGAGGGAGAGCATGAGAGGAAGATTATTTCTAGATATGGAAGAAAGGTGGGAGGGGGAAGGGGAATAACATTTTTCTTTTTTTTTGTTGTTTTTAGTTGTAAACACAGTATATTTTATTTATTTTTATGTGGTGCTGAGGATTGAATCCAATGCTTCACTTGTGCTTGGAGCCACAACCCCAGCCCCAACATTTTTCTTCAAATAGGGTCACTTTTTAGAAAAATCTAATACATTTATTTTGAAAATTTAAGATTTACATGACAACATGGAAAACTATCATTTGCCATAGCTATGAAAGCAATTACAATGAAAATTAAATATAGAATAATATTTTTCCAAGTACTACTTTAAAAACTGATTCTAAGGCCTGCATTTTCTTTGATAGAAACGCAGATGAGCAAGGGTTAGAGGCATTGAACAAAGAACCAACTTTCCTGTTGAAGTTGTTAAAAGGATTACAAGAGTATTGAAAAGAAATTAATTTCTTCAATGTGGCACTTATTTGCAACATCCCATATACCACCGATTTTATTTATTTATTTTAAAAATATTTATTCTTAAGTTTTAGGTAGACACAGTATTTTACATTTATGTGGTGCTGAGGATCAAACCCAGTGCTTCGTGCATCCTAGGCGAGCACTCTACCACTCAGCCCCAGCCCCAGCCCCTACCTCTTATTTTAGTACCCATCCTATAGTTAGAAAATATTCTCAGGGTTCCTTTTGGCCCTAATACCATAATTTATAGATAGCTCTGGCTTTGAGATCACATAGACTTGGATTCTTGGTTCTCTCTTCAAGTCTGATTCCTCACCAGTAGGATAAAGACACAGCTCACAGTGTTATGAAGATCAGGCAGACTTGCTTTTTCCCAGAGAGGAGGAATATATTAGTCTGATATGCTTTTGTGAGATAAATGGGAAGGCTTGGCACAAAATGCTGTTGCTTCTCAGGAAAGTTCACATTTTGTGTGAACTGAACTTACCTAGCAACTTAACTTCTGGAGTGGCCAAGTGATTATGAAGTGACATATTCGAAACACACTTTTTTCCCCTCACGAGTGGAATCCGAGCTCTTATTTTTATATAATTTTTTTTGAAACACATGATGTGTTCAAATATAAACATACTGTGTTTGTATAAGGAAGAAGAA